AAAAAAAGCTTTTAATTTGTTTACTTGGACCATACATTAGAATTGTTAAAAGAAGGACTTGGATTGCGAAACCACACATTCGCAAGTTGTGTAAAACATACAGATCTGCATGGTACAAGCAATCTTTTACGGTTATACCGCCGATCATGAATGGGCCAAAAAGAACTCTGAAGATTAATAATAAAAATTTTAGTTTTCGTGATTTAACTTATTTACCATATTCTACTTTCGATCCCTATCTAGTACTCAAATTAATTCAGATTTAAAATGCATAGAACACTTTCGAAAATATCTAACCAAAAGCCAACCAATGTTTTAGAGAAATCAATGAATTGGCAATAAATTTAAATCCAATTTGTGTCCGAAACTTAATATAATATTCAAAACGTAACAAGATCATTTAGTTTTAGGTTCAATGACCTGTAATCAAAATATCAAAAAGATGTCAATTTACCAAAACAAGGGCAAGACAGGTTGGTTCCATTTAAATAAAAACTAAAGAACCAGTCTTTAGAGTTATAAATGATACAACATTTAACTTTTCAGTTAATAGTTATCAAACTTCAACTACATTTGTTTAAAAACAAATTTAAATTGATCATATAAATTTAAAAAAAAAAGCTAAATGCAAATATTCCACTCATTAGAAATATAATGTGATGAATAGATAAAATAAATAATACAATTTTATTTACATTTAATAAATATTTATAAATTTGTTCTACTAAAAAAAAAAACTAAACGTTAACTGACGTATAAGCAGCAGTTCAAAATTTTTGCAGCTTGAACTCTAAATTATAACCGATACATAAATATAATAAAAAATGAAACCTATTAACCTAATTTATATGCAAATTATATTCATAATTTTTAAGCTTGTGTAAAAGTTTGTTTATATATTTGTTATTAACAATTTTAGTTTTTTAGTTGTTTATTTATAATTTAATAAATACTTAGTTGTGGTTCTTTAAACTAAATTATGTTTATTTAATTTTTAGGAAAATTAAATTTATTTTATTTATAGTCACATCAGGGTTATCACAATTATCTATAATTTTTAGTGTTTTTTTGTAGTTTTTTTTTACGCATTAGAAAGATTCTTTATTTTTTATAATTATTTATAAATTATGTCACTTTATAAGGTGATAATTTTTGTTAAAATTATTTTTTTTTGCAAAATTTTTGTTTAATATAGAAATTATTTTGCTCTAATTATTTGTTTAAATAATTAACTACTTGTTAATTAAACAGAAAACTTTCTATAATAAACAAAATTTACTTAGACGAATATTTTCGTTAAACACTGTAACAATTTCACATCTATAATAGCTTTCAATTATCTGTTTAATAATATACTAAAGCTTTATAAACTTTTATGTTTCATTACAATTTCTCTCTTTGAGAAAGTTTTCTCTCTTTACACCTTCAACTCCAAATTAACCAATGATATCTTAGGCCCACTTCTTCGGCTTCAAATCTTTTCATTAAATCCATTTGATTAAAATTAATTTCTGCTGGTTTCCACTGCTGGGTCCGGCATTCCATATTCTCCTCTTCTAAACATAATGTTTGGCTAAAATTTAACTTTAGCAACAACACTACTCCCATTAAGGCACAAATTGTAATAAATTTTGAAAATTTATATTGATTTTCATTTAATAAAAAAATATTTGTTTGATCCATATTTAAAAAAAAAAACTAGAGATTCTTTAACGTTAAATTGTTGTTTTTCCAAGACTAGTTAAGGTAAATGTGTGGAGAGATACTTTCGAACAATTAATATTTATACTTTCCTATATGGGGAAATTGCAATAAACAATTTGCGCCAATTGTTTATTAAAGCTTTTTTTGTTTTGAAACAAAAGCTTATCGATTTGCCGGTTGTTTTTGTTGTTTGTTATATAGCACCGCTAGAGTGGAGACTCAAGAGTAAATCTTTACATAAAAAAATTTTAGAAAAGTTTTGTTGTTGTTTTCTACAAATTTGTTTTACCTCAACATTTGCCCAAAGTAATTCTTTTTTATCAGATTTAAAACTTTGTCCGCCAACTTTCTTCTCTAGCTATTACTCTATGTCTCAATGTATTTATTTGAAAATACTTTACTTTGATAAATGGCTTTTCGTAGCGTTGTGAAATATTTTAACATGTTTTATCAATCGCGCTAAAGCCAAAACATTAGAAAATTCTTGGTAAAAAAAATATTATGAAATTCAAAAGTAAACAATACATTCCCAGCAAGAACTTACTATTCAATGACAATGCAGTGACATACCGCCTGCTTTACTTAGAAGGAGTTTAGTTATGACTTACAAGTAACTACAAATTTACGTAAGTGTTTACTCTTTAAACTTGATATTTTGTTTTCAAATGTTGTTTTTTATAAGCGACCTCAAAAACAAAACTACTTACATAACTCCTTATTAACAAGCGATTGTCATAAGTACTTATTTAACTACCTATTTCTAAGCAAGCGTGGTATGTACATGCCTCCAATGTCATCAACGTGTTAAAATAATGCTATTATGTAAAAAAATTTAGCATTTTTCCATGTAGGTTTTTGCTTGGTTAAAGCTAAAATTACAGCATTACAGCTAAAACTACAGCGGGGCTTTTTAGATTATTATCTGATATTACAATTCCACTTTCATTTGTCAATCTTGTTATCAATATATTTTCAAAGTTACCAGATGTTTGCTGAAGTTATCACAAAAGATCAATTGAACGAATGAACGAAAGTAGTACTGAGTACAGAGTTTAGAGCTTCTCTAATATCGTTAGCATAATGCAACCCTGTAAATAAAAGCTTTAATTATTCAATTATCGAAATTTTTCTTTGACGATCTTTTGCAAAATGCACATGGTATCTTGATTCTTTTGAAACGATTGATGATCTCTGATTTACTGAAACGATCATCTGATCGTTGATCTCTTGCTAAAATCACATGCTTCTCGGATCCATTCGAAGCGATCATCTGATCGATGATCTTTTGCTAATAGCACTTTGATCCTTTGATCATCTGATCATCTTTTGCTGAAAGCACATTCAACTTTAAACCTTTCGAAACGATCATCTGATCAATGATCTCTTGCTAAAAGCACATGCTACTTTCATCCTTTCGAAATGATCATATGATCGCTGATCTCTTGCTAAAAGCACATGTTACTTTCATCCTTTCGAAACGATCATCTAATCGATGATCTTTTGCTTAAAGCATATGTTACTTTCATCCTTTCGAAACGATCATTTGATCGATGATTTCTTACTAAAAGCACATGCTACTTATATCCTTTGAAACGATCATCTGACCGATGATCTTTTGCTAAAACAACATGTTACTTAAAATTTCAAACCTTTCGAAACGATCATCTGATCGACGATCTCTTGCGAAAAGCACATGCTACTTTGATCCCTCCGAAACGATTATCTGATCGATCATCTTTTGCTAAAAACACACGCTACTTTGATCCTATCGAATCGATCATCTGATCGATGATCTCTTGCTAAAAGCACATGTTATTTTGATCCTTTCGAAACGATCATCTGATCGATGATCTTTTGCTAAAAACACATATTACTTTAAACCTTTCGAAACGATCATCTGACAAATCATTTCTCGTAATTATTATTTTTAGTACAACAATTTATTTAACCAGAAATTTGCACAAACATATTACTTCTTTCGTGGAATTATTAAAGAAATTCCTTAAAAAAAATATAAATAATATTTTTATTTATTATACAATTTAAAAATTTAATTTGAGGATACTAAGTATAGAAATAATTTTTGTATACAACCTTCAAAATTAACTGGCATCTGTGTCTTGAAAATTATAAAGCCGCAAACAAAATTTAAAATTTCCAAAACAAAAAAATTTTTAAAAATTGTGTTGTAATCAATACACCAACACTCGCACACAAAACAAAAATTCATTACAATAAATTTAAATTTGTGAGGTTAACAGATTTACAAAACATCTTTTTATTTAATTTTTTTTTTTAATTCTGTTACATAAAACTTGTATAGAAACATTCTTAGGATGTTCTCAAATTGAAATGTTTGTGGTTTTAATTTTAGTTTTTTTTTTTCTTGTTCAACTACAACATGATCATCAACATCATTCATTCATTATATGATGATCGTTATGAACAAAACAAATTAATTAAAGCAAACGTAACGACTTTGCCTAAAGCTATTCTTCTACTAGAGGTCATAGAAGATATAAAATCTGCATATGAAATAATGAATTTGACTTGCTGTCGGACTGACTTAACAATATTTTGTTTAATTCTTTGTTGTTGTCGGTTTTAATAATACAAACACATAATAATCATTGTCATGATGATGTGGATGGATATCTAAAGTTTGCGGTCGTTGTTATTGCACATTTAAGTTTTAATTTAGAAAAAAAATTATTAAAGAACTAAAGACAAAAAACAAATCACAAATTGCGCAATAATTTTTAAATGCAGCAGTAGTGGGCTTGTCCTCTACCGCCTCTTTACTACTTATCTATTTGAAATGTGTCCCCCAATGCAATAGACAAAAAAAACATTACTGTCATCGTCCCCAGCACCAACCATCATCATCATCATGATCAGCGTTATGTTGTGATAATCGGCTATTTGATTTGATTTTGTCGTTTGACCAGCCATTAATTTGATTAAATATTTTTATTATAATTTTTTGTAAATTGACCAACTGATCTTCTGGCGCGGTTTAAGTGCCCTCAAAGAGAGAGAGAGAGAGCGATTGAGTGTGTATAGTATGGCGGAAGTTCTTTTTACATTGTATTCATTATTATTAGTCTTATTTAAATTGTTCTAGAACTTTGCAGTTTAAATTGAATGATAAAATTAAAATGACTTGATCACATCACCTCATTTGAACAAGTTTAAGTTCAACGTCTTTTCAAATGGCTTGATTTACAAAGAAAAATTGGGGTGGGAAAAACTATAAGATTTTAAATACAACTCTTACTTAAAATACTAATAATTTCTCTTCTTTCTTCTTTACTTTTAGCATGAAGTTCCAATTAGTCATATTATCCGCCCTTTTGGTAAGCGCCTTCGCTTTACCCGTACCCGATGAGGAAGTGTCACCGGTTGTACAACCCGTGGCCGAAGTCAAACCTGAAGTCGTACAAAAAGTTGAAGACAAAGTAGCCGAAGTTGCCAAACCCGAATCGAGAAAGGTTGAAGAAGAAAGCAAACCCGAAGCCGCCAAACCAGCCGAAGAAAGCAAAATTGCTTTGCCAGCCAGCATACCAGATTCTGAATTGCCCCAAGCTGTGCCCGAAGCCAAGAAGGACGACATTAAGGAAGAAAAGAAGGAGGAAGAAAAGAAACCCGAATTGCCAGCTGAGAAACAAACACGCAGCGAAGATGTTGTCGAAGAAGCTAAAGCCTTGCCCTTGGCCGTGCAACCCATTGCTGCCGGTTTGAACGAAGAACCCAAACAAGTTGTTGATGAGGTAAAACCTGCCGTACAAGAAATCCAACCCGAAGGTAAATCCGCCCCAGCTGAACAAAAGAAAGAGGAATTGTCCGTTGAAGCTAAACCCGAAATTAAGGCTGAAGAATTGAAAACTGAATTGCCCGCTGAGGAAAAGAAAGAAGAATTGCCTGCCCGCCAAGAACGCACCACTGTCGAAAAGGAAGAAGAGAAACCCGCTGCTGCTCCAGCTGAAAATGTTGAGGCTCCCGAAGTCAAGACCTTGAACGCCGAAGAACCTAAAGCCGCTGAAGAAGCCAAGCCCGAAGCTGCCAGCGAAGCTCAAGCCGCCGAAGCTACCGAAAAGATCGAAGAACCCTTGGCTTTGGCCTCTGAAGAGAAACCCAAAGAATTGAAAGAAGAACAAAAACCTGCTGAAGCCAAGAAAATCGATGAAGCCGAAGCTGAACCCATTAAGCCCGTAGATACCCCAGCTGCTGAAACCAAGGCCGCCCAGCCCGAAGAAGAAAAGAAAGCCGAAGAAAAGAAACCCGAAGACAACTCAGCTACTGAAGAGGAAAAGTCCAACGAAAGCAAAAAAGCCGATGAATCCAAGGAATCTGAAGAATCAAAAGAATCCGAAGAATCTAAAGAAGAAAACAAATCTAATTAGAATTGATAATTTAACATTAACAAACGCTTAAGGTTCACTTAACCTTCCACTCCAAATTACTAACACACACAACTCACCCTAAAAACTCCCACAAATCCCCCTTAAAAATCATCCCAATTATATTTCCTTTCTACTCGCTCTCTCGCTCTTTCACTTTCATTGCAGGGGGAGAGAGAGAGCAAAAGGAAATGCTCAAAACTCTTAAGTTAAAAATACTAGTTAGTTATTTTAGTTGTAAAATTTAAACAAAACAAAAAGCTTAATAAACAAGGATGATATAATAAGAGAAGAATAAGAAAAAGTATAAGAGAGAACTTTTGACAAGAGAAGATAAGAACATAACGGACATAAAAAGGGACCGCCAGGAAAAAAAAACATCATAAGATTAGTAAATACAAATACCGTAAAAAAACAACAAGTAGAGAATAGTAATTACCACAAAAGGAAAAAAAAGGATCAAAAGCACACAACAGCACTTAGAGAATAGTACAGTGATAATAAATAGAAAAAAAACAACAGAAACCACAAGATACACACTCTTTACACTAACACTAGTACAGTACATTACCAACATACACCGTTATAATAGAGACACCGTAGCAAAAAAAAAAAAGAGAAAAAATACACTGAACAAAATAAACAAACAAAAGCAAGGACAAACCCATATGATGGCATAATTTTTAAATATTTTACAAGCAATATACTTATAAATAAAAACAAAAAAAAATTATTATAATTTTTTTATATTTAATTATTAATTATTATTAAATATAATTTTAATTTTGTCCCCTCGCTCCCCTGAACTTTCTTATTTGTAACCCCCCACTGTATTATTTGTAATTTTAATGGTAAAAAAGAAAAAAATAATTATTATTTTGTATTGTATTCGTGCACTATAATTAATTTTAATACTTTATATTTTTATTATTTACTATTAATAATTAATTATATAATTTTTATTTTTTTTTGTGTAAAACTCTAACTCTCTGCTGGCATATGCAATTGAATTATTATTTGTAACAGAACAACAAAAAACTCTTTTATAATTCGTTTAATTTAATTTTTTGTCAAATTTTATTACGACTTCTCAATGTATAAACTTTTCGAATTCACACAAATGGTCAATATATTTTTACATTTATAAACGACATATTTTAATTGTCGTGTCATTATTAAGGCGTTTGGCATCCGGTCCATGCGCCCAATCCATTTGTTGTTCATTAAAAGTTTGTACATTTTGAGGATTCAACGAATTAGTAAAGTAAATTAACATTTTTTGTATGATGATTTTTTTTTACATAGACTGAAGATGAATAAAAATTTTAAAATAAAATATAATGATTTTGGTTTTAATGTGAGGAAAAAGGGTGTGTTTTGATATAAAAGAATTCAGATTTATTCTAATACTTGGCAGATTTTCGGTTTCTGTAGTAAATTGTTTATGTATTTACAATTTCAATATATTTTCTTGATCAATTACACAAAATCTTGAAAGTTTGAAAGATCGATCTAAGTTCTTTCATTCGGGTTTTTTAAATGTCACGGGTTTCGAAAAAATCCTTAAGTTATTTTGGATACTATCATGAAATTGCAACACCTATCATGAGTGTATAAAATGGCTGCAGACATCATAAAATGTGGAAAACATCGATTACAAATCTGGGGAATCAATTTCAGAAATTCCAATCGTTTTAGACAACCATACGGAGATCCGACCTAATGATTACAGTTATTATAAGTACCACGCCACCTAATTGACTGGGGGATTGGCTGGTTGGTTAACGTGGTAGTTCACTACACGCGAACAGTCAAGTAGAGTCGAAGAGACTCCGTTTTGACCGGACCACTCCACTCGTTAGATGTAGTGTTTTATAGTTTTAGATCCAGCCTGTAGCAGTGAGAAATCTTAGGATATCATTAAGCTTAGATCCAGATATCTCACCAATGTTAGATATGAAGTAACTGCCAAAAAAACGGTTTCTTTTCACGGATAGTGCAGGGCATTCACAGAGGAGATGGAAGACCGTTTCTTCCTTTTCCCTGTCTTTGCAACTGCGACAGTGTTCATTGAAGGGTAACCCAAACCTACTTGCATGTCTGCCTAGCACCCAGTGTCCTGTTATTACTCTTATTATTCTCGATATATCCCGTCTACTTTGGTTTATAAGGTGACTTGTGCGTTTCTCATTGAAAGAGGGCCACAACATCTTGGCCCCTTTACATGTGTCTAGGTTATTCCAACTATTTTCAGCCTTTTGAAGATAGAATCTGAGGATACTACTCTTGATAAAACCTAACGGAGTTGCTACTGGAACGGCGTTCTGGCAAGCTCATCTGACTGTTCATTTCCATAATAGTCCCTATGCGCAGGGACCCAAACAAGGGTAATGTCAGACAGGCGACCCAGCCTTGATAGATCCTTCTTGCATTGTCTAACTAATAGGGAAGTGGTAGTACAAGAATTTAGTGAGAGAAGTGCCGCTTGACTATCGACAAAAATTCCTATGTTGCCGCGAATATTGAGGTCGTGTAGTACCCTACAAGCTGACATTATCGCGAATATTTCAGCTTGAAAGACACTACAGTTATTGGGAAGACACCAGAACCAATACCACAGTTCATTTTAGAACCATCTGTTCTGGGGGATTACTCCGTATTTCGAATCGAAAGAAAAAAAAATTTAAAATACTTTTAACAAATTCGATTTTTTACATGATCATGAACTCAAAACTGTTTAAAGGAAGGGTTTATATTCGACTATTATCATTGTTTAAAGGGGGGGGGGTGTAAGTTTCCTCCGTAATTATGTTTAACTTAAGAAATGTTTTTAAGAACATTCTTGTTTTCGAATCGAACTATAAAGTAATCCTGCAGTCTTAGTCATATCTCAGTTCAATTCTTTTCTTCTGTGATTGACCCTGAATCACTGAAAAAGAGAGGTCCCAGGCCGCCCAGCCCGAAGAAGAAAAGAAAACCAAAGAAAATAAACCAGAAGAAAACTCAGCTTTAGAAGAAGCAAAACCCAACGAAAGCAAAAAAATCGATAAATTCAAGGAATCTGCAGAATCAGAACAATCCGAAGAAACTAAAAAAGAAAACAAATGTAATTAGATGGGTTGATATTCGAATTCAAACTGTTCTGAAGACTACTTACTATCATTGTTTAAGGGGAGATTATTAATTTAATTCAAATTAAGAAAATTCTGGTATTCGAATGAGACTACAAAGAAACGCCCCAGTCTTAGTCATTTCTCAGTTCAATTTAAAATTCTCCTGCATATCATATTACCATCCAATTCTTAATATTGTTCCTGAATCACTGACAAAGAGGGGTCTTCAGTAACCGATGAGGAGATAAATTTCTCAATTTGTCTCTACCATTTAATCCAGACGATTGATTCAAGAAAGATTCTACAAACAAGACATTCTATGATCGTAGTCGATCATTTCTTTTTGGATAAATACATCAGTTTAGTTAGTGACTTTAGTTGTTAGTGATTATAACACTTTCGGTTAATAAAAAAGTCGCTGAATTGAGAATTTTTGGTTGAGCATAACTCGGGCCGTACAAAGATCCAATTGTCTTAAGAACGTTGGGAATAAAGTAAAGAAGATAACTCGCTGATAACTTGGTGATACTTTTATAAAAGTTGATGTAGAACAGGTCCAGATTATTACATACTCTATCTCTCTCTCACGGAACGTAGGGAATAAATTAACGAAGATACCTCGCTATTGCCTGATCACTTGGTGATCATGACTTTTGTAAAAGTTAAGAAAGAGCAGGTCCAGTTTATTGCATGCTCTCTCAGGACCCTATTCTAGAAGATCTTTCAAAGTTAGATATCTGAAGAATAAATGTTTCTTTCGTTCAAATAATGATAATCTGTTTGAGACAATACAAAAGTCAACCTGTTTAACCTAATTCGATCTTATTGATCAAAATGATCACCGGAAAATAAGATTTTTAAAGTTAGCGCCCAACAACCCTGCAAAAAAACAACCGCAACGAGAATTTTAACAAAATTTTAGGCCCACAAAAATCTAACAAATATCCCTACTATAAAAAACATTATTAGAATCAGTCTTCTATACATAAATCTGTTAATAAAACAAAAATATATTTAAATGTATGCAAATGTAATCTATTCACGTGATAAACTCTTAAATAAAATATTCCATTTTAAAACACGACATTTAAATTCCACCATGTTTAATTTAAATGTCAGAATTATAATAAATACTAAATTCTTTTGAAATTTACATACAAAACAACGAATTTAGCAAAAACTCTCGACTAGTGACGTTTTATTTTAATGGCACAAAAATAATCATAAATTCGATTTAAATAATAAAGAAGAAACTTTTTATCTAAGATCAGCCTAAATATGAAATGAAAAATATACCAGAAAAAGCTATAAATTGAATACAAACGTAAAAAGGTTTTAAAGAAAAAAATCATTAAATAATATTTAATTTAACGTCACAACTAGGGGCTAGTTTTAAACTTAAACTTAGTTTAATAAACTAGCATGTGAAACTGATATACATACATATGCGCAGAGTATTTTTTACGTTAGAAATAGTTCAGAGTTTGAACTACTTTTTTAGAAAATTGCTAAGAATCTAGGCAACTTTTTCTGTAGAAAATTGGTTAGAATGTGGGCAACTTTTTATATCGAAATTTGTACAACGTTTTCTACAGAAATTTGGGGAACTTTTTTTTAGAGAAAACGTGGAGAATCTGGTCAAAATTGTCTATAGAAAATTACACAGAATCGAGACAACTAACTCAGCTTGTTAGCAACTTTTGCTCAGCTTATGGGCAACTTTTTCTATAAAAATTTCCCATATTGCGGTAATTTTTTCTATAGAATCTTAATCAGAATCAGGACTAATTTTTCTATAAAAATTTGTTCAGAACCTCAACTTTTTCTCTACCAAATTGCTCAAACTGTGGGCAACTTTTTATTCTATATAAACTTGCACAGATTGTGAGCAGCTTTTCTATAAAAAATGCTTAGAATCTAGACAACTTTTTCTATAGAAAATTACTTAAATCTATTCAAATTTTATAATAGAATTGTTTTTTTTTTTTGTACATCATATTGCTAAAAATCACGATTTCCTGATCAACTTTTTTCATTGAAAATTGCTCAGATTATGGACAACGTTTTCTATAAAAATTTATCGGAATATTCTTTTTCCCTACTTTTTCTATAGATAACTTGCTCAGAAATGAAACAACTTTTTTCTAAGAATCTATGTAACTGTTTCCCAGATTGTGGGCAACTTTTTCTATACAAAATTGTCCAGATTACAGGTATCTTTTTCTATAGAAAATTGGTTGGGTTGGGGGAACCTTTTCTGTAGCAAATTGCTCAGATAGTGGACAACTCTTTCTGTAGAAAATTATCTATACTAAATTGCTCAGAATATGGACAACTTTTCCGTAAAAAATTGCCTAGATAATTGTCAACTTTTTTTATAAGAAATTTCTCAGATTTTTCGCAACTTTTTCTATATAAATTTGAGAAAGTTTTCATATAGAAAATTACTTCGATTCTGGGGAACTTTTTTTTATAGAATATTGTTCAGATTGTTGGAAACTTTTTCTATAGAAAATTATTAAGATTATGGGCTACTTTTTCTATAAAAAATTTCTTAGATTATAGACAAATTTTTGAATTCAAAATTGCTCATTTGAAGCAATTTTCTGTAGAAACTTGATCAGAATATGAGCAACATTTTATATAGAAAATTGCTTTTTCTATTGAAAATTGCTCGGATTGTGGGCAACTTTTTCTTTAGAAAATTGCTTACATTATAGGGAACTTTTTCTATTGGAAATTGCTCAAATTGTGTGCTACTTAATATAACTTCACATAACTTTTTCTTTAAAAAATTTTTAGACAGTGTTGCCTGCTTTATCTATAGAAAAATGTTATGATTGTGGGCAACAAGCAGCAACAACTCTATTTATCTTAAACTTTCTGCAAAAAAAAAAAAACTTACGGACCCCTTTTTTATATAAATTTGATCAGAATAAGATCAACTTTTTGAAATCTACTCAACTTTATTTTCAACAACAAGAGTCCGATTTAAATGAAATTTCATCGATTTGGCTGAAACATAACTTGTTCTAAACAAATCTTATCTTAGCTAAGGGACCTATAGTATAGACCCAGTTTTAAGAATTAAATTTTTAAAATGAAATAAACTTCAACTTACCCTTTCAACAAACATTTGACAAACAATTATACCTAAAGACCACCAATCGACAGCATGAGTATATGGTTCGCCGCGCAAAATTTCGGGAGCTGAAAAATAAAATCAAAATAAAAAGCATTTACTTACCCGTTTAAAATAAAAACAAAATAAAAAATTAAAAACATAAATCTAAATAAATAAACTACTACGAAATAAAACACAATTTCTAGATTTTCTTTTGCATATAAGTTTTGATTTCATATTATTTTTTTTTCAAAATTGTTTTCAATTTTCTTTTTGTTGTTGTTTGGTTTTAATCTTTTCATTCTTACAATTTTAAATTTACACAAACATTTATAATTAATAATTATAATAATAATATTTACACAGCTTGTTAAATGTTAATTTGTTAATATTTAATTCATTTATTCATAATTAGAATATTTACTTAAAATTAACTACTACTAGAAAAAAATGGGTTGAGTGTTAATAAAAGTTATTGGTTAAAGGTTAATTTAATAATTATTTATTTATAAATAACAAATATTTGTTTTTTTTATCATTTAATTTGATTTTGTTTTTTTTTTTATACTTTAACTAAATTTATACTTATTTTAAAATGTTTAAGCAAATCACATGGAAAATTATTTATAATTATTTTATAATTTGTTTATATTTAAGGTTTTAAAACTAATAAAATATACAGTGGCGGCCATGAGGTTAGCACATTTGGTATCTGTTAAATATAAAATCAAATATTTCCTATAGTTCTTAACTTTTTTAACAAATTCTTTTTTATGCGTAACACATGTCCTTCGAGGATCACGACACATTACATTTTGTTCCACTACTTTGTTGCATATAGATTTTTTTCTTTCCAAAGTACATCTACCCCCAAAAAAATCTGGACATAAGTTTAGCACAAAATAAAAAAAATCATTAAAAAATTAAAAATAAAGCAAAGAAACCGGATAAATTTATGTAATTTCACTTAAAATTTTATATTTTGTAGAATAGTTGCACATTTTGATAATATAATTTCTTCTCCTGGACATAATCTTCATCAGAACCCATTAGAAATTTCATGACATAAATTTTAACTTTCAGCCCATAATTAGGCAAAATTCTTAGGAATTTGTGTTTTATTTGTTGCACCATTTCGTTTAATATGTTCCTTATTGGATTGGGATCTAGAAATTATTCTGGGCGCTGCAAACATATCAATCTCGCTCGCTTCCAAGAAGCTCCTCTCTATACTTTTAACATATTTTGGGTCATTGTCGACCAAAAAACGCCATTTAACTGAACTTTTGTCCACTAATTTTTTTACTAAAATATTTAAGAGTCTATTTTGATAGTCATACTGATCCATTTGTGCATCCACCTTGCGTATAGAACCTCCACTACGCCCGGAAAACGCCTCCGAATTCGTCATATTTCACCCATTGTGTTTTATGGTTTTAAATGTACACTTTGGTTGTTGCTGCATGTTTGGAGTACAGCATAATTACATTTTTCCATCAAATTTGATCCTATTAATCTTCAACTAGTATCCTCCAATCATGCAGATAAAGCTAAAGTGTTCCAGAGAAATCATATATCACAATGGGGGGAAATTTCATGGTATTCATTGCATTTTCTTGGCGTGCTGTTGGTCCTATATTGATGTTGTATGCAGAAATGGATCCGTATGACTATCAAAATAGGATTTTAATTACTTTATTAAAAATATCGGAGGACAAAGATGGCGTTTTTTGGTCGACATCGACCGTAAATATGCTAAAAGTGCTGATATGAGCTGCTTGGAAGCGAGCGGGATTGTCATGTTTGCAGTGCCCAGTAAATTTTCTCGATTCCAATTCAATAGAGAATATATGACATGATATGGACCAACAACTAAAAGCAGAAATCACCAAGAATTTTTCCAATTTATGGGCTGAAAGTTAATATTTATGTCATGAAATTTCTAGAGGGTTCTGGTGAAGATTATGTCCAGGAGGAAGAATGATATTATCAAAATCTGCAACTATTCCACAAAATATAAAATTTTAAATGCAATAAGATAAATATAGCCGGTTGTTTTGTTTTATTTTTAATTTTTTAATGATTTTTTAATTTTGTGCTAAACTTATGTCCAGATTTTTTTGGGGGTAGATGTACTTTGGAAAGAAAAAAATCTATATGCAACAAAGTAGTGGAACAAAATGTAATGTGTCGTGATCCTCGAAGGACATGTGTTACGCATAAAAAAGAATTTGTTAAAAAAGTTAAGAACTATAGGAAATATTTCATGTTATAGGCAACATATACCAAGTGTGCTAAAATCGTAGCCACCACTGTATATGTGGTTCTATAGCATTATTAAATTAATTTGGGTTTTCATTTTTTTGTATTTAAGCATAAAATTATTAATGTTAAGTGTTTAATTAAATTTGTTATTTGTAATTTTTAACTATTGTGTTATTAAAGGTTTAAAATTTTAATCACTTTTATTTTATTTTTAATTACTAGTTATTTTATTATAAACTTTATTACAAAGTAAACAAATGTGTGTTTTTTAAACTAATTTACAAAAAAATATACTAATTTTATTTTTTATTTCTATTATTATTAGTTTTTATTGAAATAGTTTTATTTTTCTGTTTTGGACTTATAGTTAAACATTTGAAATATGAATCACAATTATTGTTTTTTTATACGTTTTTATATTTTATATTTTTTTTTTATGTTAAAAGGCTTGTTTTAATTTAAACACCATATTTTTGTAATCTTTTTCAATTTATTTAAATTATAAAAATATTGTGTTTAAATTTATTATTAACCTTTATTTTTATATCTTTTTTTTTAAGTTTCTGTTATAATTTTAGCAAAAAATTTGAAAATAGTTTTCCTACTTATGTTCTACATAGGTAAGATTTATTTATTTGTTTATTTATTTATATATTTATAGATTTTATAATAAAAATTATTACTTTTTTAAGGTTAGTTTTAAGTATTTGTTATTTTGTAATGTTTTTGAAATTTAATTTTGTTGTCTGTTTAAAACTTTTTCTATAGAAATTTTTTTTCAATCTGGGCAACTTTTCTATAGAAAATTGCTGGGAATTTTGGCAACTTTTTGTGCAGAAAATTGCTTAGAATCTGTGAAACTTTTTCTAAAGAAAATTGCTTAGAATCTGGGCAACTTTTTCTACAGAAAATTGCTTAGAATCTGCGAAACTGTTTCTATAGAAAATTCCTTAGAATCTGATCAACTTTCTTTTCCTATAGAATATTGTGTAGAATCTGAGCAGCTTTTTCCATAGAAAATTGCTTAGAATCTGAGCAACTTTTGCTATATAAAATGATTAGAAACTGTGCAACTATTTCTATAGACAATTGCTTAGAATCTGGCAACTTTGTCTATAGAAAATTGTCTGAGCAACTTTTTCTTAGAAAATTGCTTAGAATCTGAGAAATTTTTGCTATAAAAAAAATGATTAGAAACTGGGCAACCTTTTCTAAAGAAAATTGTCTAAAATCTGGGAAAGATTTTCTGCGCATAATTGTTAAGAATCTGGGCAACTTTTTCTATAGAAAATTGTTCAGAGTCTGGGTTACTTTGTCTATAGAATATTACTTAGAATCTGGGCAACTTTTTCTATAGCATATTGCTTAGAATCTGAGCAACTTTTACTTTTGAAAATTGCTCGGAATTTGGAAAACTTTTTCTATAGAAAATTGCACAAAACCCTAGCAACTTTTTCTATAGAAAGTTGTCTTAAATCTAAGCAACTTTTTCCATAGAAAATATATTAGAATCTGAGCAACTTTTGCTGTAGAAAATTATTAGAAACTGGGCAACTTTTTCTATAGAATCTGAGAAACTTTATCTATAGAAAATATCTAGAATCTAGGAAACTTTTTCTATAGATAATTGCTTAGAAACAGGGCAACTTTTTCTATAGATAATTGCTTAGCAACTTGACAACTTTTTCTATAAAAAAAGTTTCCAAATCTAGGCAAATTTTTCTATTGAAAATTTCTTAGAAACTGGGCAACTTTTTCCATTATAAAATTCTCTAGAATCTGGGAAGCTTTTTCTATAAAAAAATTTTGTTTAAAATTTCTCAGAATCTGCGGCCTTTTTCTATACGAAATTTCTTAGAATCTGAGCAAGTTTTTCGATAGAAAATTTCTCAGAAACCGGGCTGAAAAATTTAACAGAATTCAAGCAATTTTTTCTATAGAATATTGTCTAGAATCTGAGCAACTTTTTTCATAGAAAATTGCTTAGAATCTGAGCAACTTTTCCCATAGAAAATTGCTTAGAAACTGAGCAACTTTATCTATAGAAAATTGTCTTAATCACAGCAGCTTTTCCATATAAAATTGCTTAGAATCCGAGCAACTTTTTCTATAGAAAATTGGGAAACTGCTTGTTTGTTTTATTTAACAACAAAACATGCTTTCTATTAAGATTAGTTGAGAAATCTCGTAATAACTATTAATAAACAAATTCTAGAGATCTTGGTTTTAATATCTCATTCTTCAGCTCTAAATCACATCTTTATCGTTTTTTAGTTTTGAAAATACTTAACAATCAGGAAAAATTTTAAAATTCAGATTTATCAATTGCAAGTGAAAACATTTTAATTAAAAAACTCTTTCTTTTGAAAGCAGAATATTAAAAAACACATATCCTTGCTTATACTTTAAGTTTTTTGTATAGAAAATTGCTCAGAATCATGAGCAAATGATCACAAATTAAACAGAATCTCGGCAAATGTTCCGTAAAAATGTGTGGAACTTGGACAACTTTTATAGAATTTTTTTTGGAATATGTTTTTATAGTAAATGAGTCAAAGCCTAGGGGGTTATTCGTTATCGTAAAGCATACAATTTTGAATAAATTTGTTTTCCTTTTTCATTCGATAACGATCGAGAAAACGTCATTTTCGCTACAGACATTTGTTCTTCTTGCAATCGATTTAAAAAAGTTTGTATTTACTTCATATCATTAATAAAATCTTTTTTGTTTTATATCGATTTTATTGTAGGGTCAAGTAATTTAACAGAAAAAAATGAAAAACTGGTTTTAAAAGGCGGTGATAAAAAGGAAGGCAAACTATAGCTAGATATTAAATTGTATATAGCAACCTTCCCAAGACATTCCCATGACAATTGGATCATCACTCAGAACGGCCTGGTCAAATAATAACAACACCATTATACCTAATCGCAATAAGGGTGAAGTAGAGAGAGTGGTACAGCAGGTGGACGATTATATAGTCAAACAATCGTTCACCAAAAATCGGCTATCTGGATCACAGAGTATAAAGATGAAGAAGATACTCCAGAATATCATACCAGTGAAACTCAGAAAGTCAGTGTTTTTTGCTTAAACCCAACTAGTTATCGTACCAGTTCTGTAATAAAAGTTTAAATTGAAAATGTGGTTTAAGGAAGCCCTTGGAATTATAGTTTAGAATTACGACTCTAAACTTCGAGGAAACACCTCTAACAAAAAGTTCAACCGGCACGGGTGCCGGTATATAAAGGTTGTTCACATTCCCTAAAATGCTCTTAGGGTACTTATGATCGATCCTGTTTACTATTAGTTTGTGTTTAGGTTGTGGACAAACTAGCTAGATTAGGTTCGAATCGTGATATAAATGACAGGGAAAGTATGATAAATCACCCAATTATCAAAATTATTGGTGGACATTGCAAAATATCAAAGGCCTTATGGCCATCAGTTCATGTTTGGGCCATGATACTTATAGGACTAAGCGCAGTCTAAGTATTCTGATAGGGATGCTAACAGGGCATTGCTCAATTAGAACCTTTGCCAGTAAGTGGGACAGTAATATTAAGTAATAATTAAGTAATACTAGACTATTGCAGATTATGCGAGGATGCAGAAACTGAAATAGGTTCCATAAATGACTGGAGGAAATTGCGGTTTTACTAGATTAGTCATTTCTTCGACTGGAAAACTTAGTTTCTCTTATATTTCTTTCTTAAGCCAATCGATTTGGTAAATCTTGTGGTAATCAACCTGTTTCCAGTCATCTCTTGCCTTTACTTATGTTCTTTTTTTGTTTTTAGAGTAATTGGCTTCTATATCCTTGGATCTCACAATGAACTTTATGACCTAACCTAAACGCTAGAGAGCATATAAACCTTCTTTGGAACTGTTCTTCTTCTTTTTCAGTTATTTTGGCTTGATTACTATAATTTTTAAAGAATTTTCTAATAAAAATAAACCCAGTTTTGCAAAGAAACGGAAAATTATGTTTATAACAAAAAAAAACTAATTAAATGGCAGAAATTATTAGAAAACTACACAACAAAAAAATAAAAGAAAATTAACGAAAAGAAAGCAATGTGTAGTAAAAAGAAATCTATTATAAAAAGCTATATATTACATAAATATTTTGTTTTAAAAATGTGGCAGTTTATACTTCTAATTTATATATGTATGTATGTAAGTATAATTAAAAATTTAAAATAAAAAAGATACCAAAAAGAAATTTAATAAGATCTACACTACAATGGTCCATTTTAAAAATTGGTGTTTTGATTTTGTTTTGTTTTCATTAATTGGGAGAAGTGAAAAAAACAAGCATTTTAGCAAATTTAATTTACTTTAAACAATACACAAGTAAGTTTTGCTTAAAGTTGCTTAAATAACTAAACGATGGGTTTTATTGTTTTGTTTTTTTTGTTATTTAATTTAATTTGTTAAATTAGATTTAGCTTAAATATCTAACAAATGAGATACTCTAATGAAATTTCTGGTTTTTGCCATATAAAAAAAAATAAGAAATTATTAATTTTTTAATATTCATTATCACGTTTTGAATAGGTTTTCTTTTCTTGCATAATAGTTACAAAAATTAGTTAAAAACTAAATTTTATTAAAAATTCAACTTAAAAGAACTTAAAGGCAAAAAAAAAATAAATACATTTACGATTAAAAAGAAACAGTTCTAAACCCCTTAAAAAAGGTTTTATATTGCTTACAAAAACAACTGAACTGTTGCTAACTAATTCCACTGAATTGGAGTAAAAAGTAAAACAATAACTTAAAACGTACCCAAACGTCTGGGAGGATAATGATAATTATGATGATAAGAACGACAAAAACAAAGAAACATAAAATTATGAGCCAGATTTTGTAAGAAATAACTACGGCCACGCTGTTGATATGCAGCAGTAGTTGCACTCCTGGCCGGATTGAAATAAACAATCATGTGTTTTTTATTCTTATCCGCACAGGACATCAACAAGCCAACTTGCTCTTCTTCCGCCATATCATTTCCACCATCACTATTATCATCATCAATATCACTTTGAACGTTTGCATAGAGCTTATAATAAACTTGAGACTTCATATTATAACTCAGATTAATACACTTTTGTTTATCACTTAGTAGACACAATGACGTTTCTATGCCTGTTTCATTATTATCATCATCAGGATTTCGTCTTCTGCTTATTTGAGGAGTTTTCGTTAAAATTAACGGTTTGAGAACGCGTCACAATGCGAGCGTCTCTTTAATGATTTTCTTTACGGCATTGCCCATGGAGGGTGCCGCCGTATCGGATGTGGAGTAGACAAATTTAAATAAATATGGCTGTACATCCGGATAAGTGGTGTCGAATATTAAATCCAATTCACTTTGACTCGGTGTCTTAGGTACGTAATCATGTCTATTCATTATTTCCGTGATATAAATGACTTTCTCCGTCAACAGATCGGCCACATTTTCACGGCACATCTGACGTTCGTCTTCGTTTTCATGCTTTATCAAATCCAAATGTATCGTCCACACTTCCCACGGTATACATTCGGCCGTGAAGGGCCATCGGGATTTTTTCTTTTGGAAAAATTCCAGACTTATTTGACCCGAACCACAACTTTCGTTCGAGCGTAATTTCTCACTGAATACATTGATGGCCCGATTAACGGTACGCTGTAGACTGTCGGAAGTACAGCAGACATAGGTAAAGTCAATGAAATCACAATCGACATCGGTATAGCCCACTGTGCCAATAGAATATTGAGCATCACCGGTATACATATATTTACCAAGGCAGCGATGGAATAGCACCGTATGAAAAATACTAGCAACAGCTTCATCAACCTGACGACCTTCCATGGTCAAATCGAATACTTGCGAGCGGGCATTCATTTTTTTTTTTAAATATTTATTTTGTAATTTACTAATTTCTGTTTGTAATTTGTTTTGTTTTTTTGTTATTTAATAACTAACTAATCACTGTAGGTTTCTTAGTTCTATTGTTTTGTTTGTTTTTCTAATATTAATTTTTCTTTAAATAAGTAGAGTAGAAATGTATTTATTTTAAATCGTACCCATATATTGAAATGTTCCACACATAGTTTTAGTTGTTAAACCCAATTTCAACCACTTGCTGAGACCAAAATCAGTTAATTTTATATGATAATCTTGGGTTAATAGTATGTTTTCTGGTTTAGCATCACGATAAATAATGCCAGCGTTATGTAGGAAATCTATGTAATTAAAGATAATTTTAATTAATTACTAATAAATATTGTTAAATATTTTGTTTCACTTACCCAAAGCCAAAGCAATTTCTGCCAAATACAAACGTATTAAGTTTAAAGAGAATGTACGTATTGTTGAGAATAGTTCACCGTTTGGTATATATTCCGAAACTGTAAATATTAAAAGAAAATTTTTGTAAAATTTATATTTTTTAATGAAAAATGAAGAAAATAACAGAATTCATAACATAAACCAGAAATAAGAATTGAAGTTTTAATCAGTATGTATGTTTAAGTCTAAATTTGTAATTGAATAGTGTACCAGCCCAAAATTACTATTCGAAAATATTAAAGTTCGAAGTTAAAGATGGGATCTTATATCCGAAAATTTAAACTTTTTACATATTCGAAAATTTGAACTGACTACTAAAATATATTCCAAAAAAAACATATGTTGAATCCACACCGTCACTGCTACCCGTAATGACGTTTCCATCACAATTGGATCTTCGCTCCGGACCAACCCGAGTCATACTCGACCAAAGATTGTCAACCCAGCGATAGCTGTATCAACCCAAAGTTTTTCCCCAGGAAAGAACCATCGACCACAGTCAAACTGTTACAAAAACAACAATAACTGTAATGACAGTTCAGAAGCCTGTATTACCTCAAGCTTTGCCTTTGGTTTAATATCGCTACATTTGACATTTGAACTCCAAAGAGTTGTTTCCGTAATTAACAACTTTCTCGTACATAACCCAGTCTGCACCTTTAAAGGATACATCCTTCGAATTACCATCAAAGATGGCGATTACATTAATCAGTATATCTACTATTAGGTAATAAAAATTGGTAATGATCCTATTCGAATAATTCCACCACCACCCAGGCTGGTGGTTTTCTTCACCTTCTTATTGGTTGACCATTTCCACATCTGGCACTCTTAATTATGTAGTTATGAGAACACTTAGGAGCACCAGCCGGATATGGACCCGGTTTGGAAGACTGCCTGAAACTTTTCCCTTATCGACCTGTGATTCATCCCAGAACGTCACTACTGACTGGGCCGTAAATTCTTTCGAATTTAGCGACGGGAACTTTGAAGAATCTGCCTTCGCCATATTTAAAAGAAAGGCAAGAGATTTCAACGTCCCGTTCCTAGCGTTCTTCCACTTTATTCGGCAAGTATTATTAATATCTCGTGGAAGGCACTTCGCTTCTCTTTCACTGCTACTTGTGAAACGTCCTGTGGAAGGTCTTTTCTCAAATGTTTGCTTTGGATTCCCGTGGCCTGATCAGTGGGAGATCTTAACGGTCTGACAGTTAGTATGTTCATCAGACAGCAGAGATAATTTTCCCAACTTCTGTCTGACTCTGGATTCACCAAAGGGGTCACTTGACACCTCCAAAGGCCTTGAAAGTTTAAGTCGGTCAGTACCTGACTTTCATCCTCTACAATTTTCCGTTCAACGAACTGTCCATCTGAACTAGATCCTCATAGCTTCTTTATGCACTAGCTAGCAATACAGGCACTCGGAACAGCTACCACTCACCTTGACCTTAAAAGTGCTTATATTACGCTCTTACTACCGGAAAACTAAAACTAAGCTAGACATAACAATCAGCAGAATACTAAAATAAAATTTTCAAGTGGTGTTCTCAAATCAGTAAAAACTATATTATTCAACTTCTTGCAAGTGCAGACTGCTAAGTCTCAAGTTCCATACCGTCCTTCATAGACATAGTAAACTGGCAGAATGCTAGTTTTGAACAGATAAAGTACTATATCTAATAAGAGACAGAATAAGTAAGTGGAACAAAGTTACTCGTTATTTCCGATAGATTTTCAAGGATGTCAAAGAGGTTGAGAAGAGATTTATTAAAAAGAGATTATATGTCATTGTCCAAGGCTGCAGAGAGGCAATATGACTTCTAATAAAATTAAAATATTTCTTTTATGTTAGGGGAACATGGCTTTCTACGTTTCTGAGTAGACATGGAAAAGCCCTCATGTTAAAATAGTAAACGAAAGTTTATCATTAGGACCTTATATTTCCCTTTATAGATATCCCTGTGAATGTCTGAGGTGTTCTATAGTTTCTGTTCTTATAAACTTTTAAAATGTTTAAATGAATATGATAGAAGAAATGGTACAAGTCTTTGTTTTCATTTGAAATATGAGGAATAAAGGCGCATAGATTATAATTGTAATTGGCATTTCCCCATAATCCATGTGTTGTTATCGTTCTTCGTTAAAATAAGAGGATATCATATTCATATCGATCTAGGCAAATTATTTAGTAGACGGAGTAGGGTAGAAGGGGGATCATTCGCCATAGGGGCACATCTGCCAAAGCGATTAACTTGAAAACCGAGTAATCGATTTTATCGCATTATCAAATTTTATTTTCGTTTATCGATTATCTATCATCCCTGAAAGTTTGAAAGATTAACTTTACATATGATGGGAGGCAGACGTGATTAATTGTTTTTCAAAGGGCTGTGAAAATATTTCACTGTGTGAATTTTTTGTGCTAACTTTTTTAGTTTTTGTGATAGAAAAAATATATTGGTCAGTGATAGAACGTCAATAATAGTGAATAAGACATAATAATATTTTCGGTAATATAATTTGAAACCCGAAAAAAATTTAAACTAAACCCCAGAACTGTCCGTGGGGCACATTCGCCAAATATATGTAATGCTTGTGATGTAGAACAAAATTTTGTTAAAATATAGAAAAAATCATTAATAATTTGTTTTAATTTTTTTTGTTTAGTTATGTGAAATAAACAATAAATATCTAGTTTATTATACTTTGTTTAATGAATTAAAATATAAAACAGCGAAATAAGTTTTTACTTTTTAATTTTTTTGGCTTATTTTACTAATGACAAATCTGCCCCATCCCCTTGGCGTATTTACCCTATGGATGGGGCGGTATCGCCGTTTTTGGTCAGTGCGGAAAAGTTAAAAAAATATGTGTATGAGGATGACTTAGGAAAGATTGAAAGGGATAAAACTAAAGCCAACATATCTAAGTATCCGAACCAAGAAAAAAATTAAGAATATGTATTGTGGTTTTAATTTGAGGCCGCCTCAAAAAAAAGTGGCGTATGGTCCCCTTTCTACCCTACTTGTTGAAATCCGAATTCACTATTATAATGTCTGATAGGAATATGAACCTTGTTTGATGTCAACAGTTCTTGTGGCTTCGGTAGGTTAGTGATTAGTGTTTTTTCTGGTAAACCGGAGGTGATGGGTTCGAATCCCACCTGAGGCTCTGTTGAAGGAGCTCAAAACAGACATAGGTGTATTTCTTCGGATTTCACGTACATACATGCTCCTTTCAAACTAACTAATTAACAAACACTTCTTTAGAAAAGGAGGAAATCATAGTATCAATCCAAGAAAATGATAGAGGAAAGTAAACCCCTAAAAAAACTATTGTTCAATAGGCTAATTAGTAGTTGATGAGATCTACTAAATGCGCTATTATAATGTCTCATCATTCAGATTCTTGAAATTATCAAAAACATTTTAATAAAATTCTCTTAATCATACTTACGTATATGTAAATTATAACGATTTTGCCATAAATCAAATTGTTTAACAATAAATGGATGATGGCCACAAAGTTTTTGTATATCAACTTCGTCTTTAATTTGTTGCAAGCTATTCTCCGAAATAATCTATAAAATAAAATAAAGCATTAATAACAAAAAAAACATTTCTTTTATAAAAAAAAAATTATATATACTTTTGATTTCTTTAAAACTTTTAAAGCATAAACGGGGGCAGAAGGTGAAACAGCAGTAAATGCTGCAAAATTATTTTTATTTATATGTTCCGCTTGATGCTGCTGTTGCTGTTGTTGTTGATCTGCTTCTTCTTGTTTTAAAGATTTCTTATCAATTACTTTGAAAACAACACCAAATGCACCCTTAGCTACCAATTGATCAATATGAAATTCTTCGTTACGACTCGACTCTTTAAAGTGTGAACTGAAAATGGCATTTGTTAATGGTTTATGCCATTGAGTTTTAGAACGTTTGCGTTGTTGATATTGTTGTAAAGTACTAAAACTATAATATTGAGTAAATAAGAAAACAAAAATATTATTGTTATTGCAAATTACAAAAGAGTAAAAACAAAAACAACTAGGAAATGTTTAAGCTTGAAAATTATAGAAACAAACAATTAAGTTTATATGTAAAAATAACTGAAAGTTTTACCTTTTTCTAGAAGATTTTTGACGTTGCTTAAAAGAATTGCGAACCGAATAGGATAGATTCCAATTGAGACTACCCAAACTCCACAGAGAAGAGGCCTAGAAATAAAATTAATTAGAATTAAAGTTAAAATAAAATCTTTGTTTTAAAAATACTATAACAGTCATGGTTAGTTAGTATTTTTGTAAATATGGTTTTCACATAATTTTTAATAAAAATTCTTAGAAAGCTTATGATTCTTACTTTCTTTCTTATTTGATTAAAATGTTTCAATATTAAGGGAATTAATGTTTCTAAAATCATTACCTCTTTAAGCTTTTCATCACATATTTAAATACAATTACTTTACAATTCATTTACTTCTTTTCTCCCCCTGCTTTTGTTTATATTTTATTACAAATTACAGTTTTGTTGTTTTTTTTTTTTTCATTGGCTGCTTTTAATAATATTATTTATTTGCTAATAATAAAGATTACGTGCATTTAGTCAGTGACTCAACAATTCTTTAACCTTTAGAGTTGAATGGTTCTTTTTTTTTAATTGCCCTATAGCCAGTGGCATTGCATTAAGGGAAAAATATTAGTTTAACGTTTTGTTGGTGACATTTTTAAATATTGAATATAAACAATTTAGTTTCTTATTTATTAATAACTTTCAATTTATTTCAAATTCGAGAATATTCCAGGAATTATTTTTGTTTATTTTAAAAACTTGTAATGCATACTTTTGGGGATTTAAAAAAACAATCTTTGGAAAATAAGGTATCAGTGGAATCTGAACATAAGTAGCTCGAATTTAGTAGGAGGATTAATCCTCTATACTTATGGCAGAAGATTTGCAAGAATATTAAAGAGTTTGAGAAGAGATTATTTGTTTATCTATCATTGTGCACTGCTATAGTGAGGTACCTGTTATAATGGAATAACTATTTTAACAAAATATAAACCCAGTGATTTCTTTCAATTACTTTAGAACCGAAATGACTATATTTTCCTTCACGAATCAGGTAAACAATTGTGAAAAAGAAATCTAAAACCGATATAAACTATTGGTCAGTAGACGGTGTAATTTATGAGATCCGAATTCTCTATTATAATGTCTGAACCTTGATTGATATAAACATTTCTTTAAAAAATGAGGAACTCATGGTATCTATGCAAGAAAACGATTGAGAAAAGTGGTTTGATCATAAAGAAACTATTACTTAATAGGCTGAGTAGTTAATCAGATCTAGATTAAGATCTAGATTAATGTCTGATGAGCTCGAGCAGTTATTTTTTTGCGAAATTGATTAATTTATCTTTAAAATAACGATAAAGTCTATCCTAACTAACGATTGTGATACTGAGGTTTGACTCTAAAACATTGATAAAATCATTACTCGGGATTATAATATTTGGTGAGTAAGTTAACGTAAACTTCTGTGGAATATCCCTCTTTATTGAAGCAATCTTTTTGTTAACAAAGGTCGAACATGAACATGAAGATTTGTGGTTAAGTCTGATAGTGACTACAGATCAGCAGATTGATCATTACATCAGAACAAGCAATTATAATATCAACTTTATTACTATATTTCTACTTAATGAGCGAGAGAATGGATTATTGACGTAATTATTTTGTAAAGAAATGAGAAAATCATTGGATAGGACTGATCCTATAGATATTAATGATCAGCAGGGTAAACTGTTTAACACATCTAAACTCGTTTTTGTTATGTGTCGAAACTTCGTCAAACAGGAAGCAAGATGTTAAAGATCTTTTTTATCTTTTTTTTTTGAAGTAGTTCATGAGATCTAGATTAACAATTATGATGTCTGATGAGCTTGATAGTTAATTTTAACCTTAATTGATTTATTTTTCAGTTAAAAAAACGACAAAAACAATCTACTATATGGACTAACTATATGCTGAAGTATGACTCGTAAAGAAACTACTGATCAAAAAATATTAATCGTATCGCTACTCGGTATTATAATATTTGGTAAGCAAGTTACCATCAATTTATTTAGGATATCGTCACCTGAAATGCAAAAGGGCGTAACAACACTTTTAAAAATTTTACCGGAGAGACAAAAAACTAAATAAAATGAAAGCTATTCTTGTTATAAAAACGACATTTTTTGCAATCATTGTATCCCAACGTCGATAAACTGTCAGACATTGTCTATTATGTTGCTGTGGAAATGACTAATTTGTTGTTACGCCCTTTTGAATTTCACTTCAATAAAGTCGATATTTTTGGATTACAATAGGACTGTAAAAATTTGCAGCAATATGTATTTTGATCAGGGTAGGTAAAAATATCGCTCGCGATCGCTATTTTATTTATATCGCTCGTTTTAAAATTCAAAATCGCGAGTTTTATTTTTCAACACGCGAGCACAATTTTAATTAGAGTTTTATGTGTTATGTATTCGCTTCGTAAGCGATATTTACATGCTTACGAGCGAGCGGAAAACGAGTTGAATTCGAGTTAAATTCGAGCCGAAAATCAGCAAAATGTGTGTGCAAGAAATAGGTTCTGTTGTGGTAGTAAAAAAGAACCAATAATATGGGAAATAATTATGTATGTGTGATTGTGTAGCCGTAGGTTTTATGACGGTCTGACAAAGCAAAAGTGGGAAAGTATAAGAAATATATTGTCTACCTTTTTATTTAAATGTGTATGTTTTTTATCTGTAGTTATGTATGTACATACATATGTATATTGATGGACATGCAAGTGATCTTTAAATTTTTTTTTTATTTATTATTTATTCTCTAAAAGCGAAAGAACTCTTTCTTTCTTACAAATATATTGAAAACAACAAATAAATTAAAATGAAGATAACGTGTTGAATGATGTACGTATGTATGTATGTATGTATGTATGTATGTATGTATGTATGTATGTATGTATGTATGTATGTATGTATGTATGTATGTATGTATGTATGGTGTATGTATGTATGTATGTATGTATGTATGTATGTATGTATGTATGTATGTATGTATGTATGTATGTATGTATGTATGTATTATGTATGTATGTATGTATGTATGTATGTATGTATGTATGTATGTATGTATGTATGTATGTATGTATGTATGTATGTATGTATGTATGTATGTATGTATGTATGTATGTATGTATGTATGTATGTATGTATGTATGTATGTATGTATGTATGTATGTATGTATGTATGTATGTATGTATGTATGTATGTATGTATGTATGTATGTATGTATGTATGTAGTATGTATGTATGTATGTATGTATGTATGTATGTATGTATGTATGTATGTATGTATGTATGTATGTATGTATGTATGTATGTATGTATGTATGTATGTATGTATGTATGTATGTATGTATGTATGTATGTATGTATGTATGTATGTATGTATGTATGTATGTATGTATGTATGTATGTATGTATGTATGTATGTATGTATGTATGTATGTATGTATGTATGTATGTATGTATGTATGTATGTATGTATGTATGTATGTATGTATGTATGTATGTATGTATGTATGTATGTATGTATGTATGTATGTATGTACGAAGTGTCTCCTACTTTGCAGCAAATAATGTACGTACATATGTATTTGTGTACATAATTTTAATGGGAAACTTATTTGGTTATGTCATATTTATATATGAATTGATTATGCCTTATAAATTTAAATTTATTCCATTTACAAAATTATAAAACTCGCGATTAACTCTTTTTGACTCGAATCGCGAGCGAGTTCTATTTTACGCTCTTTAAATTTTCAACTCTTATCGCGAGTTTAAAAATTAAACTCGCGAGTCGAATAGATTTATTCGCCGGAAAATTTATTATTTAAATCGCTCGAATTAAACTCGCTCGCGAGCGAATTGAATTCGATCGCTATCTGTACCCTGATTTTGATGCAGTGGACCATTTTCAATCACAAAGTCGATTTTAAAATTTTTGGTTGTTACGCCTTTTAGCATTTTAGGTGACGATATAATTCTTGATTGCAGCAATCACTCTGTAGCAAACGTCGAACAAGTCAAACATGTTTAATCGTATAAAAGCTATCGATCATCAGATTGATTGATTGATTATAACATCTGAACTAGTCTTTAGAGATCATTGCCTTGTAATTATTTCGTAAAGAAAAGAGAAAATCTTTGGAAGAAATAACTTATTCTATATGTTTGTTTTCACTTATTCTATATGTTTCTTCACATCAGGACGACTACGGATTATCAACTCAGCTACATCGTCTTTACAACTATCACTGCTACAACAACAATAACAGATCCTTGTAATTATTTCGTAAAGAAAAGAGAAAATCTTTGGAAGAAATAACTTATTCTATATGTTTGTTTTCACGACAATCGATTCTTCACATCAGGACGACTACGGATTGTCAACTCAGCTACATCGTCTTTATAACTATCACTGCTATAACAACAACAACTGATCCTATTGAAACTACAGATCAGCAGGCTAAACTAGATCTATTCCCGTTTTTATTATGTCCGCATTTACACTTAATTCGTGTCGGACCTTTGTTAAAAAAGAAGCAAGATGTAGACGATAGTTTTATAACTTTTCATAAAGAAAACTTTAAAAGTCAATCGAAAGTAAAACTTTTGATATTTTCCATTTACAGCAATAGTTCTCAATAAAAAATTGTATATTCTACCGAAAGGTAAAGGTAAAGCTGCCAAAACTAGTTAATTATTGAGAATTCGATTTCAATGATCAGTTCAATCCTGTTCCTCCCGCTATTTGTTACGAGTTCCTTTTTTTCTAATTACAGGGCATTCCAGAATTCGTTAAAGTAGTTATTTTCACATTTATAAACGTATTATTAAAAATTATTTCTTTATTATTTCTTCACTTTGTATTTATATATTTATTCTCTACATTAAATAACTGATAAAGATATAGCAAAACAAGTAAGAAAGTATAGTCGGGCGTGGCCGACCATATGATACCCTACACCAGTCATGAATATTATATGTGATCTATTTTTCATAATAAAGCATTTATCTGGAATATTACCTTGATTCCGATTTATTTAAGCAATTTACTGACGAAAAACTAATTTTCTGAAAGAGGCTTTATATG